TTGAGAGAAAGACGCTGGCCACGCCAAGTCTGGAACGCAGGGGTGAGAATATATACCTGCTATGTGTCTATTTTGCATGCATTTAATAAGAGCTCAGAGAACCAAAGGGTTTCATGGTACCTGTAAGTGACTTATTAGTGTAATTTCTGTCCTGTCCTTTGTAGTGTCTGTGTTATCTGTAACACAGTAGTAGCATTTAACAACTAAGTTTACCCTGTAACAATAAATAGTAACTGTTTAAGCTTTAACCTGACTCCTTCAGTTGCTGTAACAGAACCAAGCACAATTTAAAAGAACTTCAGCCGGTCATAAGGGACTCACTGCCCTGACCGTCGGCTGACAGCGGGGCACCCCTGAGAACTGTCTGTCCGGGGTGGGGTGTCAGGACCCTTTAAGCGCAGCCCTCGGCTAGCCTGAGACAGCATCTCCACGCTCTAAGTCCTCCTCTGATGCCCTGCTGGCACTGCTTCCGGCCATCCTTAAGCCCGGTTCAGGGTCCACTTAATGTGGACATGCTAGTTCGAATTAGCAAAACGCTAATTCGAACTAGTTTTTAAGTCTAGCTGCACTAATTCGAATTAGCTTAGTTCGAATTAACTAAGTTAGTTCGAATTAGCGCTGTAGTGTAGACGTACCCTTATTGATTACCTGTAGCAGTGGGGAACCTCTACTGTGGCTGTAGTAAGTGTATACACTGACTTGCTACAGTACCACAAGTGCTGCTATAGCATTATGAGTACAGACTTAAGCACTGTCTACACTCAATACGTTTAAAGCTCAACCATGTTAGTGCTGTAAATGAAAAGTGTGGCCCTGGTAAAACCGCCGGGAGAGAAGTCTCCCAGCTTTCTGTGTTACCTGCTTCCCTCACAGAGGTGGTTAACGGAGCTGGGAGCCAGCTCCCAGCCCTGCAGCCTGGTTCACACTGGCGTTTTGCAGCACTATAACTTGCTGCACTTGAGGGGAAAGGAGGAGTTTCAACCCTGGAGCCAGAAAGTTACAGGGCTGTAAAATGCCAGTGTAGACTTGGCTTTAGCCTTATTTACCCACAGCAACAAAAGGAAGGAATGTCAGGATGAGGATTAGAATCTGAGAATCCTTGGCATCCAGCCCTGTGCTTGGGTGTTTACAGTACACTGCTCTCTGACACAGGCATTGACAAGCATCTCAACTCCTGGGTTACTTACTTCAAACAAATAGAACCAACAGGCTTTTTGTGAGTCACTCAGCCCCAGTCCATGTAGCATATAATTAAATTTCCCTCCCTCACAGCATCCCAGATACTTCCAAAAAGGCACAAACTTTTTCAATATACACCCTGTAGACATTGCGGCTTAGTCCTGGGCCCCTGACCTGTGTTCCAGACCGTAAAGAAACAGTTAGAGATCCCCCTTTTCCCGGGCCCAGAGTACAGGGCGGTGCAGGCACATATAACCTGTTTAACACTCTGTAGGCCCATCTCAAGCCCCGGCTTCAGGGCAGACACACAAATAGCAGTTCACTGGATCAGGTAGGACCAGTAGGGTTGCCAGGTGTCCGGTTTTGAACCGGACAGTCCAGGATTTGAGCTTTCTGTTCGGGAAACAAATTGAGAAAATATATATGAGAAAATATAAATGTCCAGTAAATAAGATGTAATGTAGATTGTGATGTAATGACAAGTGTGTCCAGTATTTTTGTTGAAGCCCTCTGGCAACCCTAAGGATCAGGCCCAGATGCAGGGCAGTGCAATAAACAGTTTACAGGCTCAGTCCTGGCTGCAGGCTGAGTAAATAGTTTCTAAAGCCATGGCCTTGGTCAGGGCGGGGCAAGTAGTTTAGAAGGCCCAGCCCTTGGTCAGGGTGTGGTAACAAACAGCACAATTAGTTCACCAGGCTAAGGCCCAGGCCTGTTTACAGGCGGAGCGGGGATGGGGTCTCCTTGCTGGCGGAGAGCTGACAAGCGCAGGGGGTGTCACCCCTACCAGGGGGAATCTGCCACCGAAAGAGAAGGCTGGCAGAGGGAACACAGGCTCGCCCGCTCCACTGGGTCAGCGGGGATCTGGACCACAACACACCGACCTGGTCAGTGGGGATTCTGACCACACCACGCTGCCCAACTGACCTCCATCTCCTCTGCCGGCCCGAGGTCAGCTACCCTTGGGCTGCTTCCCAGTTCCCCCCAGGGCCTACCTGGCTCCACAACTGTTCTGCGGGGTCCACCGGGGATGGAGGCGCTAGCAGCGTCTCCATGGGCTCCGGGTACGACTCAGGCAGGGGTCCAGATGGACTGGCCCAGTCCTCAGGGCCCGGTGAGAGTCCTGGCAAATCTTCAGGCCCTGACCAGTCGTTGGGGCCCGGCAGCGGCTGTGGCAGCCTTGGCTAATCTTCAGGGGCTGCAGCAGTCCTGGCGGCCTCATCTAGTCCTCCCGCCGAGGGCAGCATGGCTGGGCCTTCCTCCTTTGGAGCTTGGGCCGAGCATCTGGCTTACTTGGCAGCCAGGCTCCAACTGAGCTCTGAGCGCTGCCTTTTATACTCCCAGACTCACTTTCCTGCTTCCTGTGGGCAGGGCTGGGTGAGTCTGGTCCCACACACTAAGGGGTCTTAGGGTGTGTCTAGACTACTGAGTTTTGTCGACAAAAGTGGACTTTTGTCGACACTACCGCTGAGTTCTGTCGACATAACGTCGACAGAACTCAGCAGTTTTGTCGACGCTGGTAAACCTAATTTTACGAGTCATAACACCTTCTGTCAACAGAGTTCTGTCGACAGAAGGTGTTATTGCCTGTAGGGTTGCATCTAGACTACAGGGTTTTGTCGACAAAGCATCTTACTTTGTCGACAGAACTGAATGTGTCTAGACGCTCTATGCCGACAGAAGTTTTGTCGACAATATCTGTCGACAAAACTTCCGTCGACAAAACCCTGTAATCTAGACGTACCCTTAGAGAGCCCTTCCTCTGCCTGGTCAGAGGAAGGCCATGCTGCTATTCTAGACTCACTACACAGCCAGGCTGCGTCTAGACTGGCATGATTTTCCGGAAATGCTTTTAACAGAAAAGTTTTCCGTTAAAAGCATTTTTGGAACAGAGTGTCTAGATTGGCATGGACGCTTTTCCACAAAAGCACTTTTTGCGGAAAAACATCCGTGCCAATCTAGACGCTCTTTTCCGCAAAAAAGCCCCGATCGCCATTTTCGCAATTGGGACTTTTTTGTGGAAAACATTTCTGAGCTGTCTACACTGGCCCTTTTGCGCAAAAGCTTTGCGCAAAAGGGACTTTTGCCTGAACAGGGAGCAGAATAGTATTTCCACAAGAAGTACTGATTTCTTACAGTAGGAAGTCAGTGCTTTTGCGGAAATTCAAGCAGCCAGTGTAGACAGCTGGCAAGTTTTTCCGGAAAAGCGGCTGATTTTCCGGAAAAACTGGCCAGTCTAGACACAGCCCCACATACACACACCCTGAGTTTGAGAATCAACATTTATCAGACAAGTCAATTCCTCTGACTGTTGTATGTTTGTAGGGGAACACTTTATTTCTATCTGAATACAAAAATGTAGGTCAAGAGATTCAATGAGAAGTAATACATGTAAATTTGAATATTAATGCCATCCGATTCCTGATGTAACTATTTGCAAACCCACAAATCAGTGGAAGAGATTTGACTCAGACTATGGTGGCAGATGAAAGGTATCCAGAGGCAGCAGATGGCTGTGTGTCACTCAACCTTGGTATGAATTTTTATAGGTCATGTTGGAATTCCTTTTAGATCAAAGGTGAATCCTATTATCAACATGCACTGGAATGAACACCTACTGAAGCAAGGTTTGATTATGACAATCTCTGTAGTCACAAACTGCATTCTCTCCTCCACTTCTTTTCCAGGTGTTCTAGTACCAAATAGAGTTTAAAAAGGTCAATCCACCTTTGACTTATTTTAACCCTGTGAGAGGAAGAGTTCTCCACATTCCTTCGGCCATTTATAAAGGCATTAATCAGTACAGGGGTCTGTTTTTCCAGGATGCAGAGCACTTGCAAGATCCACTGCATCTAAGCCCCAGATGCAGATGGACACTTGTACTGAGGGAGGTGAGAACAAAACATAAAAGCCATCTGTTTATTGCATGCAGGAGGTGATCCCCCTGCTGCTCTTCAAAAGCAGTAGGCAAAATTGCTTTGCTCTCTGGGGATATGGCTGCTAACGGTACTTACTAGTGCTGTAGAGCCGATAAAAGGCAGCTGCATGAATTCCTACAGCACCAGCCTCATACTGGCTTGTACTGAGGGAGGTGAGAACAAAACATAAAAGCCATCTGTTTATTGCATGCAGGAGGTGATCCCCCTGCTGCTCTTCAAAAGCAGTAGGCAAAATTGCTTTGCTCTCTGGGGATATGGCTGCTAACGGTACTTACTAGTGCTGTAGAGCCGATAAAAGGCAGCTGCATGAATTCCTACAGCACCAGCCTCATACTGGAGGGTGTATTGAACTGAACAAAAATGAGCAGGAAAATAATTATCAGGACACATTACAATGGGGAATAGCACAAAACAATTATAAAAAGAGTTCATGCAAAATCCTGAACCTAGTCACTTTGGCTACTCATCTGCCATTGAACAATGAATGTAAGTATTATCTGACTGCCAGAAAACCTATTGTCAGGGTTTATTGGTCAGAGGTACTCAATTATGTTCAGTATTCTGTACTTCAGGGACGTAAACATTTGCACTAGACTGTGAACCCCTTACTGGCACAAGTATTCCCACTGAAGTTACTGGGACTACTGGTGTGGGTAAGTGGTGATCAAAGGGAAGAAAAAGATTCTCCATCTGCCCTCCTTTGGTGATTGACAGAGAGGGAGGACCAGGTGCCCTGTGGTGAGTAGAACCAGGAGGGCATCAGCTACCAAGCTAGAGTAAAAGGGTGGGACAGGAAGTTCAAGAGGTGGGCATCAAGGGGGAATGAGGGATCAGATAAGATCTATTCATGAGATTGCAAACAAACAAATTATAGTTGAACTGTACTCTTATTTCAAAGTAGTTTATTTAACATCATTTACTTCAGGAATATTGACTTACCAACTTTTTTTGTCTTAGTCTTTAGAAAAGGTACAAACCACTGTATCTACAGGCATTTATTAGATGCAATAGCCTAAGAAAAATCAACAGTAGTATTATCTACTGCAGCATTCCAACTGCAGCATTTGCTAACAAAATACACCTGGAAATCACAATGTAATAATCAAGCACAATAATTTGCTAGAGAAAGCCAGCTATAGAAGGAAATTTTGCACAATTCTTTCAGTAGGGGGCTTTTTAAAAAAAAGATCTTCTCATATATTCATAAAAATGTACATGCTGGATCATCCTAAAGCATAAGCAACTGTTTTGTGTCCCATGTGGACTCTCTAACTCATTCTCTGATTTTTCCTGTGGATAATGGGGATATACAACTCATGGTTCAGTTTCCCCTCCTCCCCCTTCCAAAAGAAGCAAGACTGGAGCACCTTGGATTTAACTCTTGCTGATGTTAAGGCTGGCCTTGAGAATTGCATACACTGTTTATTTCCATTGCTATGGAGTTACCAAAAAAAGGAATGTAATTTCATCAAACATTGTGCCTCCAAAAAACCCTAAATACACTGGCCATTAATCTCATGCAAGTGCTCCATCCCCAGGTTTATCCTGCTCAGAGATACTCTGTGTTTGTAGCCCCACACAGAAGCACTACTTAAACTATTGTTAAGGCACTCACTCCATAGACCGACACAGTTGGTATAATCAATGTGCAACAATCTGAGGCTTGGGCCTGCAAATTCTTGCTCATAAAACATGAAATCTGAAATCAATGGGACTCTTCCCATTAATTAAATGGTTGCAAGTTCAGCTTCTAGTTAACCAGTGCATTTCAGTGAAGCAAAAGAACCTTATTTAAATAAGAGAGAGAGCGAGGATCACAGTGGAACATTTCATAGGAAGATTCAAGGTGCATGATCAAGTATTCCTTGTGCATCCCAAATTCCTACTGAAGGCAACAGGAGTTTTAGGTGCATAGGGAATACAGGAAGAGACCCAATATTGCAAAAGATAAAATTCAGTTGTTACTCTAGGTAACGTAGCTTAGTGCATTATTCTATCAGGAAGACATACTGTACAAACTAGGATGGTAGGGTACAATGAATGTTTACCAGGATAAGACATACAGGCAGTCCCCGGGTTACGTACAAGATAGGGACTGTAGGTTTGTTCTTAAGTTGAATTTGTATGTAAGTCGGAACTGGTACATATTGTAGGGGAAACTCTAGCCAAACATTTCTCCAGAGCTCAGTTTTATTCTCCTACACCTCACTTCCCTCAGTCCTTTATTCTCAAGCTGAGGTGTCTGCTGAGAAAAGCCGCTCCGCGTCTCCCTGGTCTGCTGGGGGGGCGGCGCTAGCTTCGCGTCTCACTGGTCTGCTGGGGGGAAAAAGCTAGTGCGGGGTTGCCTCACCCCGTTTGTATGTAGGGATCCGCTGTAAGTCGGATCCATGTAACCCGGGGACTGCCTGTACATATCTAGATCTAGACTGAAAACTCACTCAGACTGTGTTGATGAGGAATACAAAAAGGTTTAAAAGTTTATTCTGTGAAAGTTACAACATCTCTCAAAGAGAAAAGTATGAGAATATCTCCTAGGTAGAAAATGAGCAGTCAGTTTAAGAGCATTCTACAAGATTGCAAAGTATATGTAGCAATGCTTATGATTCTTGGCTTTAGAGAACAGATTTGCACAAACAATGACATTTAATCATGGCTTGCGCAAGTAGCATTTTCACTCTACTACATTTATTCTACAAACTATATTCACTGTGGCTAAGTCTACACTGCAGGCATCTGGCGCAAGAGATGTGCTTTTGCACAAGAGAGCGTTCACAGACTAGCCGTCAGAGCACCTGTGCTTTTTCCGATAGGGGTTTCTTGCACAAGGAACCCCTGTTGTCCGTCCACACACACCTTTTTGCGCAAGTGCTCTTGCACAAAAAGGCTTATTCCTAGTAGAAAGAGGAATAACCCTTGCACAAAAACCCTGTCTTCTGATGATCTGCTGTACTTTTTCTTGCGCAAAACACACTTGTAGTATGGACATTCCGTGAGTTTTTGCGCAAAAACTCTGCAGTGTAGACTTAGCCTCTGTGTTTGTATTGGTGTTAGAGTATATTTTAGAAACTGGTGCAGTACTGTAAATTAATGGCTTGGTCTAGAGTTATTGATTCTAATAAAACTACAAAGAAGGAGTATGTTTAAATATGTCTTTATAGAAATAAAAAAATCTTTCCAGAAGACATAGAATAGATTTTATCAGACACTGTGAAATATTTTCTAAATGTTTTAATCCGTTGTCAGTGGTTTATTGCGCTTGGAACAGGAAGGATATTGAAAAGACTTTGGAGCCATGCTCCAAGCACTAAATTCAGATGCTTGTATTCTGCTTCTGCCAGCCATGCAGGAACTTGACTAGACTGTCGACAGCTTGACTAATTTTACTACATTAACAACTTGCAGGGTTTTTAAAGCTGTCATGAACTTTATGCATCTTTTTCATTCGAGATCTTAGGTCTGGCACTCTGCTCTCCATGACACCAGCAGTTTCAGTGACACTCAGTAAATGCAGACTCAGCTCACATTGTGTTGGGGGAAGTTTATGTTGGTATGTTTCCTCATTTTAAATCACAAGGAGAAAGCATTCTGTCCAAATTTTCAGGTCTACAGATCTTTTTTCTTTCATCACAGAAGAGCCTCTATTGATGCACTGGGAATTACTAGTATGGTGTGACTGGAATAATTCTGGCTGTGCATGGTGAAAGGCAGGGATGAAGGCTCACTGTGGTGGAGGAAATCACATTAGCTAACTTAATACTCTCAGGCCTGTTTGTCCAAGGAACAAAGTGAAAGGAAAACGGGCAAATGAATTAATAGTAAGGTCCAACTTTAATTAACCCTATGGGCCAAAATATCCTCTCGGGGGATAACAGGGAGCCTATTACAGCTCCCTGATTCTGAGTCCTAGTTTGCACTGTCATTTACTGAAGTATCCCATGAGTGTTTACACAAGCAGAGGCTGGGACAGAATGGCTGGTGCAGTAGCAGGGGCTGCTGACTTTAGGCCACTGGATAGTTTCCTTTTCCTCAAAGAATTGTCCCCTGGTCATGTATAGCCACAATCCAATCCCTCTGCACTGCTAAGGGCTGGAAACAAAATGAGACTGTTGCCCTATCTCCCACCACAGCGGATGTATATACCACGAACCTCTAATAAATATGGAAGGGATAGTTAGTTATAGGGGCCTTGAGTGATAGTTGGAAAACATGAATTATTTAGCATTGGTTCAGATCTGTTTCACTTGTGTCTTGTGAAGAGAATGATGGGGCGTGAAACCCTGATAAAGATTTTCAATATGCCATGCTCATAAATGTGACAAGGCATAAATAGTCTGCCCTATCTGAAATGAAACTCCATCAGCAGGACTGAACATGCTGGCGGTGCATTCCTCCTCACATCCTCAAGAAGAGCAACTGAAGATAGGGGTAGAAAAGGAAATACCAAACCCAGAAGCACCACACAATTTCTTACCCCTGTACTTTAAAACTATTGATGCAGATTGCAACTTTTAGGTCTTTTGTCCATAAAACACTTAAAATAAAATAAAATAAAATAATTGATTTTAAAACAAAATAGGACTTGTTCCTAATTTTGTTATCCACAACTACTGCAGAAAATTTCATTTAAACATATAATAAATCTTAATTTGCCCCCTTACTAATATCCTGCAGTCATCTTCAGTGAACTTTGCGTACATCCATGAAATTCTCAGACTGACTCAAATATTTTCTCTTTGCAAATCAATTTAAAAGCCTGGATTTTTTTTCCCCAAATTTCATGTGACTGATTTTTTTTTCCAGTCTAACTGACAAAGTTGGTCACACAAAAGCAGAATCCACCCACCAGTTCTAGAATTTTCTTGCTCTGTTCCAGGGGTACGTTATGTTGTTAATGTGAAGTCCACTCATTCCATTAAGGAAGAAAAGGCAGGCAGAAATGAACTCGCACCAAAAGGTCAGTGTGAAGCCCAGGAAAGTAATGTGATCCTTCAGGAGGATTAAAAAGGTCAGCACTCCACTGGATGACAGGAGAAATGAGAGAAAAATAAGGACTGATCCCATTGACCATTTTCGTCTTGAATTAGTGTCTTCGCAGACTTGGGAGACCATCAGAAGTTCCAGGCCAAATATCGCTACAACTACAGCAAGAGACACCACGCTTCTTGCAAGAACCATTCCAAAATTCATCCCCTCCACATTGGCCTGATTAAGATCAGTGACGCATTTTAATGAAGTGCTGCTGTTGCCTAAGGTGCAGAAGTGCCACAGTCCGAACAGCTTTCCTTTTGCAAAAAGCCAGTGGCCATCGCAAACTGAAATTGATGACAGGACCACTGCTATTGCCACGCATAAAATAATGAGGCTTCTGATCAATGTCTCAAAGAACGATTTCTTGGGTCTTCTGTGAGCAAGCAACCTCTGTGCCTTAAAAGAGAGATTACAGAAGAAAACAAATTACAAAAGTCATCTGTGTTAAAATGCGGTTACTATTCAAGATGTATTGAAGCCATAGGAACAAAAAGGAGAGGCCTTTAGAAATGATGTGAATGCATGTGTAATACTAATAATTAACACCTTACACTCAAATAGATCCTGCAGTGTATATTAGAGATGTGAAAGTGTAATCATGTACACAGTTAATCAATAAGCCTTTAAAAGCTTGCTCCCTGCATGCACTGGCTCCCAGGGAGTTGCCTGCCCCTTCTCCCCCCCCCCCCCCGCCTGTATCAGAGGCAGCCGAGGAGGGGTGGGGAGACAGATGGGAGCCAGCTCCTTGTGCGCACTGGCTCCCTGGGAGCCATCTACCCCCCTCGTAACTGCTGAAAATTTCAGAGGTTACCCAATTAATTAAACACATTTTAACATCTCTAATGTATATATTTATTAAAATTAGAGAAGAATGATGCTGTGGTTGAAACAACTTATGGGGACTCAGGAAGTCTCTGTTGACTTTCCTGCTTGACCACATGTAACTGGATATGAACCTAGGACCTCTGCAACTTAGTATAGGAACCTCTACCCACTGAGCTAAAAGCCAACTGGCTCTCAGCCTATGCTGTAGAGGTCTCTTGATCTTAACTGTTGCTGTGGTCTGGGTGCTATTGCTTGGTTTCTGTGGGTTACATACAGACTTGTCAAAGTCACTATTTTGCTTCCCTTTGTTTTTCTTGTCCATTGAGGTGCCACTTCTGTGAATGGTGTGAATTCTTATGCGTGGGCTTAAATGTTCACACATGAATGGTCCTGTTGACTTGAGCAAGACTCCTCACTACATACTCACTTACGGAAACTTAAGCACATGCATAAGTGTTTTACAGTGTATTTGTACAGGGCCAGGAGCAGTAGAGCCCTGATCTAGACTGGGGCCTCAAGACACTGCTGTAATGCAAATAAGAACTTACTTTGGGATTCTCCTATCACTCAAAGATGTCACACATAGATTCTGCTCAAATTGAAAAAGACAGTCACCCTTGGAACAGAAACCAAGCCTGGAAAATTTCAGACCAAAAGATGAAATGTTCAGAAAGATGATAGCCATGGAACAGGAGGTCCCTGTGGAAGTTGCTATAACTTTAAAGATAACGATGTCCCCTATACACCAGGGCTGTGTCTACACTGGGCCACTTATTCCGGAAAATCAGCCGTTTTTCCGGAATAAGCTGCGAGCTGTCTCCGCTGTCCCTTGAATTTCTGGAAAAGCAACGATGCTCTACTGTACAAAATCAGCCACTATTCCGGAAAAACTATTCTGCTCCCGCTCGGGCATAAGTCCTTATTCCGGAACACTGTTCCGGAAAAGGGCCAGTGTAGACAGTCCAGTAGTCTTTTCCGGAAAAAAGCCCTGATCGTGAAAATGGCGATTGGGGCTCTTTTCCGGAAAAACGCATCTACATTGGCCACAGACGCTTTTCCGGAAAAGCAGCCTGCCAATGTAGACGCTCTTTTTCCGGAAAAACTGAAAACGGAATAGTATTCCGTTTTAAGCATTTCCAGAAATTCATGCCAGTGTAGACACAGCCCAGCTGTAGGCTGAGATTGCTTAAGGAGGGAATGAGGACTGGGGCAACAAGGTTGCAGAAATTTGGATGGTGCCCAGAATGCCCAGAGCCTGCACCCTCCTTTTCTCAAACACTCTCCCCCCACCTGCCTAATGTTCTGGGAGTTTGGGTGCTGGAGGTGGAGCTTGGGGTGAGGGGAGTTTGGCTGTAGGAGGGTATCTGAGGTACAGGCTCTGGGATAGAGTCAGGGGACTGGGATGCAGGAGGAGTGTAGGGCACAGGCTCTGGGAAGGAATGTGGTGAAAAAGGGGTGAAGGGTACAGGCTCCAGGATGGAGTCTGGGTGCAGGCTCTGGCCTGGAGCCGGGGTTGGGGGAAGGGTTGCTGGGGCTCAGGCTCTGGGAGGGAGTTTGGGGACTGGAGGGAGAGGATGTAGGCTCTGGGAGGGAGTGGGGTGCACAAAAGGGTGCAGGAGAAGGCATGGGGGTGCTATGCTTACCTGGAGCACCTCCTTTGGCAGCAGCTTCTGGAGGGAGGGGGTCTCCACACTGCCACCTACCAGTTGCCCTGCAATGCTCTTCCCTCATGTATCCCCCGGTCTGGCTGCCACCCCTAGGAGATTTAAAATGCCCTGGGGAACTCTGCTGCCACCATTGGCAATGCAGCATAGCTTCTGCTGGCACGTCCCTGCAGCCTGGGGATGTGTGTGTTTGTCTCCATGTACTGCTGCAACTGCTGGGAGCAACACATGGAGATACACCCTCTCACCTCTCCGGGCCACAGGGAGGTGCCAGCAGCTGTGGGGAGTGAATGGCAGGAAGCTGCTCTAGCTACACTGTGCTGTCCGTGGTGATGGTAGGGCCCCCAAGGGCATTTTAAATTGCCCAGCGGAGACACAGAGAAGAGAAGCAGGCAGGGCACAAGGGATGCATGGGATGGAGCACAGGGAATGGCAGGCGGAGCTGGGGAGGCACCTGGCCCTGGGCCAGGAATATTCCTGGTGCCAAGGCACCACAGACCCATATAACTTGCTGCCTATGAATGGGGGCTAAGGTGCATTAACTCCCTCAGTCTCCATAGAAACCCAGCCCTCATGAACATAACACTCACTGGGGCTGAATCCAATCTCACTTACACTGATGGAAAAACTGGTGTTACGAATCCAATCTCACTTACACTGATGGAAAAACTGCAGCCTGGGGACCATCGATTTCTGTGGTATTCCTTTGAAATACAACTTGTGCTAGTGAAAAGCCCCTGAAGCCTCCTTGCTTTATGAAACAATGTGTAATATGCTTGTTCAGAGATTAAAGAGAGAGATGGTTTGACCTTAGGGTTCCCAGTTTTGGTTGGATTTATTCCTGGAGATTTCATCATACGACATTATCTTTAATTAAAGTTTAATCTTTAATTCCTGGAGACTTCAAACCAGTCCTGGAGAGCTGGCAACCCTATTTGACATTCTTTACAATGACTAGAATCTTTAGAGAGTTCTCCATTAGATCATCTGCCCAGTAGCACACTTGATGGAAGTCAGTATGCATTTTGTCTGAATGAGGAGAGCAGGTGTGAGCCCTTGAATTAGGGGGTAGATTGTGATAGCCTTGTTCACATTAAACAGTATTTTACACCAGGAGTAGTCCCACCAAAGTCAATGGGACTACTAGAAAAGTAGGAGTAGAAGCAAGGCTCTCACAATCTGACCTATATTACAGTATTTAAATCCAGTTCTCTCAAAAATAAACCACAAGTGTCAAAACAGCCCCATTTATGTCTGGTGAACAGCCCTTTGTGCTCTGCTTCTCCACAACTAGCCTGCCAATGGGCCACAATGTCACTACCAATCCTTATCCCTAGAGTGCGGGAGGCTAACATAACTGATTGTGCTAGAACACAAACAGGAAACACATGATGCAGAGCAGTGCTTGGCATAGGAGCCAAAAGGAAAGTGGAGAAAAAATTGTTTGTCTAATGGAAATGGTTGGGATAGAAGTGTTATCCTGTCCCTGCCAAGAGGGGTTGAAAAATAATAGAGTTTTTAAAATAATAATTTAAGAATATTAAAATGTTACTAATAAGCCTCTAAAATCTTTAATCTTGAGTTGTTTATAAAATTGAATGTACTCAGTTTTTAGCACTTTTATGTTCACAGCATAGCCTATACATGAGGAAACAATCTCTGTTTTTATTCAGATTATTGTTTTGTACAAAGATATCCACAAGGTATTGAGTCATGCTGAAACTTTGCACTGTCATGTATCAGTGCAGCTCTAGCCCTTCCAGTCCCAGGATATTAATCCTGGATTATCCTGGAATACAGAGCTAGAACTGACACTCCCTAGTCAGATCAGAGCTCAGTCGGACTAGGGACAACACACACTCCTGAGAAAACAGACAATCTCTGCCCCAAAATTCACTGTCTTAAAACCAGATTTTCAGGTGTTCAATACCCGCAACTGGAGCTGGATTTTGAAAAGTGTTGAGCAGCTTCCACTCTCAGGCCCTAGCAAAAATACCATATTATATTTGACTAAACAGTATGTACATCATTGCTGGCAAGGTCAGCAATAAATTCTTTCAGTCCCCTGTGCAAATAGCATTTGAGTGCCTGGGGCGAGCATGGCTACATATGGCAGTAGCCCAGCAGTGCCTGAATACCTCTCAAGCATGCTCTGTAACCGCAAAGGAGCAAATTCTGACTGGGAAGATTTTATATCACTACTCTTGCCAAGCTACTGCCTGTGATTCAGTGACAGCAGGTGCCTCCAAAGCCCAAATATACAGACTGTTCTGTGCCTCCATGCATTCTGCTGCTCTTCTCCCCCATCCCCCCACAGCACTTGTGTGCTTTCCCATTAGATAGGTTTCCAAAGATGTCTTCCATGATAGCTAAAGAAAAATATACCCAGGCTGCATAAAACCTTGAACTCTGTATCTCCTGCTCATGGGTCTTAAATCTCTTTGATAAGTTTGCAGTGACTTACCCACCAAGGTCAAAGAAAGTCTGTGTCTGGGCTAGAAATAGAACTCAGGTCTCCTGTTTTCCAGGCTTATGTGCTAACTAGCAAGACCATTTTATTTTTATATAGGCTGAGGCTTAGTTTTCTGTGATGGTGGTAAAAGTGGGCATGAGTTTGGCTTGTTACCAGCTAATATTTGATTTTATTCCCATCTCACATTACACTGATGAGGTCAATACACATTTTAAAGTAAATAGAATTGTTTTAACATAAATGAAATCTGGCTTTAATTAGCTATCTCAGAGATAATCCATCTAGTTATTCTGACATCGATGGGCAGTGGGGCTTCCTAAGTACAATTAAATCCTAAAATAACTAATTTCTGCTACTTGCTTACTAAGTAAGTTACTGCTACCATTGACTGTTCTTTACATCAATCCACATGTTCTAACACAAACAGCAAGACTTCTTTCAAAGTGGTGCTGCGCTGCATGTTGTAACCCAAACTAAACTCCATCTAGGGGTGTGTAGACTGATCAGCTTGTCCAGTCAGTCTCCTCCTTGCTGATTCCTCCAGCAAGTATTCTACAGTTCAGTCCAGTCCAGGCTAGTTTTACTTTCCGCAAATGAAGCGGCTGCACTGATTTTTTTCAGGAGACTATTCCGCCTCCTAAGAGATCTCATTGCCAATGAGTTCCCTCTGTCACCAAGCCTAAACATTCCCCCCCCCCCTTACCATATGGATGTACTTTATTTTGAAAATATCACCTTTCATATAAAGCCTCACAAGACGCTCAGAGGAAGAATCATGCTGCTGAACTGCATGCAACATGTCAGTGCTGGAGAACTTTGTAAACAACACAAAGTGGGGGAAGGAAACGGACCAACTTTGATTTATTAATTAGTATTGCTATTAGACCCAGTGGCCAGACGAGTCTCACTCGATCCCCACTTGTTTATAACATCGTTTGCTCTCTATATACCAGCAAACTCTTGTTATAGTCTGGGGCATGTCATTTTTCCAGAAACAAGGCATTTCCCTGCTTAATATTATATTAACAACCACGCACTAGTTTGTCTTGCAGCCAGTGAAAGGAAAGCTCGGTTTTAAATGACGACTGAGTGGCCCTGAAGACACAGAACAGGAAGAATACAGCTTGTGCGGTAATTAAGAAATCTCTCCGAGGAAAGGTCAGATTAGATTTAGAAGGCAATAGGTCCTTTCCTAACCCCTTGTTGCTCGCCCGTGTCTGGGTGAGACTAGCGCGGCAGTACTGTACCCTGTACCCAGATGGTACGAAGGCTCTCTGTCAAGGCACATCCAGAGGCGGCTGGGTTTTGTTCCGTGCACAAAGAAGGCTACAAAGAGCAACAGGTAACCAAGAACCAGCCTCGCTGGCGTGCGGCCAGCAGCTTCGCTTGCAGGGCGATAAACATTTAGCCTCCAGCGGGAGAACAAAGGGAGACAACAGCATGTCTGCATCCACATTGCCTCGGGCTAGTCAAAACAGCAGAGATCCCCCCCCTCACCCCCCGGCCGGGCGCCCCCTCGTTACCTGCACCGCTATGGCTGTCATGCTGACTCCGGCTGCCCGCAGCGAGGAGGAAACCCGAGAGAAACTTTGCTGCGCTCCAGGTGCGGACAACAAGGTCCCGCTGCCCGCGCCCAGCTCAGAGCAGGAGGGTCCCGGCCGGGACAGCGGGGGGCAGCAGGCAGCCCG